TGACGTCCTTCTTTGCGTGCGAGGGGTTCCATCGGGACTCCCAGTCGTCGGTGAATTGTTCGAGGAAAGGTGCCTTGAGCTCTGTGGGCTAGAAGGTGTTAGTGCGATGGCTTGTCAATTGGCCATCCCAGAAACATACAGTAAAGGTAGGCTTTGCGACCGAGGTCGACGAAGACGCGGCTTCGGAAGAGCTGGCATCGTCTGCGCGCGCAACGGCGGCAGCGAGCGCAACGGTGGCGCCAATTGCAAAACGCATCTTGCTTGCCTGCTGTCTAGGGTAGAGCAGAGGTCTTGGGTGAGGTTGAGGTGGAGGAGAAGGGTTCACGGGTTGATGGGTAGGGCAAGGTCCTACATAAATATGCTAGTACTGTGAAAGCCAGGTGTCTTTAGGAAGGCGTGCGGGCACATGCAGCTCTCCACTAGGGCCGCAGGCGCGCCTGCTGCCCCATGCTCAACGGCTCTGATAGATGATTCTGGAATTGCTTCACACAATTGACAGCTGGCCTGATCTGATACACTTTCACTCGGGTATTGTGCTGTATGCTTTACGTCGAGTTGGCGCTCATTCGTGAAGCACTTGCTTGAGTCTGTAATCGCTCGCTCCTCGTTCTTTCCGGGGCTCTTAGCACTGTCACTAGCGCACAGGGCAAAAGAACAACGTACTATGTAGTCGCAACCCCGGATCCACAGTTTCCAAAGATAACAAACTCTATTCATTGTGATTCTCTAGATTTCAAGGTGGGCGTTCCGGACATGCCACGATGTGAACAACAAAATCCACATTGATCACGCTCATGCGCTGCACTACCGGCACACGAAACTCGCATCACTGTATAATGAGTACTGCTGACTAACGTATGTGGTATCGATTGTAGGTGAGCTATATCCATAGTCGCACCAAATGCATGTGGCCAACGGCGCTTCAGTCAAGGTATCCCAGAACTCCGCCGCCTAGCCAGGCCGTAAGATATGATGTGCGTATGTATGCTACCCGTCCAAGTCCTTCCCGTAAGAGTAGTACAAGCCGCGAACGCCATGCGCTAAAGTCAAAGTGCTAATTACTCCATGCCGCATTCCAGATGACATGCCCTATGTCTCGTGCAGTATTTACTGTGTCAACAACTCTGCCTATTAGAGTGGGTGGCAGAGGCTCTTCTTCGTCGCCTTCGAATGGCATGAACATGCCCGACGGTGTTCTGCGGAGGCCTCCACTTTCCAGTGATGCCGACGATCCACTGCGTCGTAATGAGTAAGGATCCGAGGCAGTCGGTGTACCGGGCCTATTCGTGCCATAAGCGCTAGAGGGCTTGAGGTATTCCTCGCTTTCTTCGTCGTCCTCCTCGAGCAGGAAATTTCGTGATGGATTCGACGGCTTCAGCGTCTCGGACGAAGGCGAAGGAGACAACCCACTACGCGATTTCCATATACCAAGGGAGTGGGACTGTTGTGTCTCAGTGACGTCGGGTGAATCTGTCCGATACTTGAGCGTCGTTGATGGGAGTTTTGCGATGGTCTTGTTGTCAGTGCTGATGCTGACAGAGGAGGGCGTGCGTGAGAGAGGCTTCTTCCGGCGAGATCGCTTCATCATGACGACGCCTTCATCAGACGAAGAATCATTTTCCTGGTACTTGGCCCAAGGGTTGTGGTTGCAGTCGTCCTCTTCATCGTCGGCGTCTTTGCACTCGACGGCAATACACTGCTCTACCTTGTCGTCGAAGCGAATATGCCGTCTTTCTCCGTGATCGGGCGTGTGCAGTCCAGATGTAGATTTGGAGGAAAAGTAGTCCGTGCCTTCCCAAAGCAAGCCTCGGGACATGGTGGAAGATGTGGGGAAGTCGGGGGTGACACGGCCGATGATTGGTCGGGGCCTCCGCAACTCCAGCGTCACACCGGTTGTTTGCTGGGCCTGCACCGACTCGGCAGCCTGCTGGATTAATGACGATGACGATAGTGACTTTTGCAGCATGGCTTCTGACATGCTGCGCTTCTTGAGGATGGGCTTCTTGACGCCATTGACGAATGAATTGGTCTTTGACAGACGGCTGGCTGGCTCAGAATTTTGCTGTGAGCAAAAGCGATTCGAGGCCGGCTGCATGGGTCCGTAGAGCCATGTCACGTCGACATCTTTTAGCCTGCAAGATTGGTTAATACAGCCCAAGACCAAAAAACCAGCAAGATGGTGCACGGATGGGGGTGATCGGCACCCCTGCCGAAGATGCAGATCGAAATATTCGGGACTCACCAATTCAATGTTTCGGGCGACACCGTCTTTAGCTTAAACTGGGCCTTGGCCCACGTTCGCCACGAGGCATTTTCGAGCCTGGAGCGCTCGCCGTAGACGCTGCGGTGCTCCACAATGTGCCGCCACGATGACCAGATGTCCTCTTCCCGCCATTCGTACGAGAGGTAGTCGACGTGGTGCGAGGGCTCCTTGCGCACAGCCGTGTCGTCTTCGGATATGGGCATAGGGTCGGGTGTGGTCATGGGCGTATCGGCGGTGGGGAAGGCGTCGGCGGGCGAGGGCGAGGGAAGGGAGCCCGGTCGCATGGCTGCACCCGCAGGCTTCAACGAGGCCACGTCGCCAGGCTTGATGCCCTTTTTATACTGCCGTGCTGAGCTGTAGTTGGGAAACGACAGGCCATCGTCGTCGCTGCTGGACTCGTCCGACTTGTCGAGAGAGACGCTACTCGAGGGCGTCGAGTGCATTGACGATGTGCGTGAGGAGCTGCTCAGCGAGGGCGAGCGCAGGTCGGGCAGCGAGTACTGGTTCTTGCGGATGGGGCTGTACGAGTCGTAGGCGAGCGACGAGGACGAGGGGGAGCGTTGAAAGGGCGCGTTGTCTCGCGGGAGCGACAGCATGGCCGTCATGTCGGGCGGGCGTGGGTCAATGCCTCAATATCTATCACAGCGTGTGCCAAACGGCCTCGACGAAAGTTGGCTGGCGGCCTGGTGTCGACATGCGGCTCGTGGCGGAGAGTGGCTGCGGATGCTGGCTGTGTGTATATATGGGGCTGCTGCGGGGGAGCAACTGCGGTGGTGCCTTTGCACGGGTGACGAGGGACGAGTGACGACGCAACGGCGTGGGTGAATGCAGTTGTTGAGGGCAGACTGGTCGTAGGAGGCGCGGCGGAGGAGATTGTCGACAGGCTTGGATGGCGACGGCGATGGTGCGAAAGCTTCGACCTAGAACCATCAACCGCAGACCCAGTAGGCTTGCGGGGTTGCGGCTAGCCTGGGAATTTCACGACCTTGGAACCTTGCCTGAGGATCCCCTGCAAACTGCAAATGATAAGCCGCCTGGTACCGTCGACGCGGCTTTCACCACACACCCCAGAGCCTGCCTCAAAGGACCGACCGCTCCACCGCACCGCGTCGAGCAAGACGTTTGCCGGCCATGCACAGGCGCTGCAGCGCAGTCTATCGAGTAGCTGCAGCAGACGCTTCGGTTGATCGGCCTGCAGCCCAACAGAAAGAAAGACGAAAAGCCTAGACCGTTGCTAATCATTCTCGCGTGGATGCGCCTCCTCGCGTCCTCTGCGGCACACGGCCAGGGGTGCCTCCTCTCCGACGTGCGTCCGGCCGTTGCTGCACCTCGAGCGCGCCGAAAGGGTGCAACAGAGGTTGCGGGGAAGCCTTGGACCACGACGGCTGCTGATGATGATGATGATGCGTGCTGACTTTGTTGACTCCACTCGCGCGACCGTCGCCGACAGACATGCCAAAGCCATCTGCAATGCGACGCATCCCCCACTCGACCTGTCCTGCACGTTAAACTAGCCCTCCGTCTAGCTTCTCAACACCAAGCCAGTTCCCACCACGACCTCACCGATGCTTCACCATATGACGAACACCGTCCATGGTACTCGTCCAAACACCTGCTCCTCCACATGGCCGTCCGCTGCATCCCTCGCTCGGCGCATGGGGATTTTGTGGAGAATGACGTTCTCCCCATCGATCGGAACTTCAACAACTCGAGTAAACCGTCTTCGACTTCCAGACGGCCTAGAAGCCTGTTTGCGCAAGATAGCATCAAAGCACGCACATCGTAATAGAAAAAACACGCATGGCGTCTGTATCAAGGGCCCCTGTCCCATGCGTAACGCGTCCTAAACGTATTCGCCTTGTTAAATGCCATTGTTTTGACAAAGTAAAGGACTGCAGCAGTACCTTTACGCTACGTTTCGGTGTGAAGGTCGAGCTCCAAGATGCCCTTCTGCTAGTTGGCCCCGTGCTAATCATAGCTCACCCTAGAGCGAGCGAAGAACAGACTATCTACGGGTATAGAGTGGAGATGAGATGGGGTTCAAAAGTAATCATATGCTTAGGGCCTTGGTGTAAACATCAAAAACCCGGCTTGTTAAACAGCACTCATGCCCTCTGCTTGCCCTCTCAGCGGCATCTTCAACCAAGTTCTCGTCCTGTGGCAGTGGCGTGATACTGCATCAATGCCGCCTCTCGAGCCGCATCCAATTTCATTGCACGACGACTAAAGAAATACCCTTTGTAGCAATCCGAAGATAAGCAGTAGATGCAACAACGGTGTGGCATACGTTGTCAGCCTGCGCAACGTCGCACAGCATCCTCTTGACAGTTGAAACTTTTGCGTCCTCGCCTGGGCAAGGCTGAACAGCGCCTCTCTGGTGGCCACGAACATCGAAAGCGCATCCTATTCGCGCATGACATGTACGGAGTACCGTACATCAATCTCTTGAACATTTATCCTGTCCGCGGATTGCAGCAACCTAGGGGCTTATTCCCGGCAGAATGCATATCAATGATTCGGCTTCGTGCGATCGATCTCAGCGAAATATGTACGCAATGACGGTCCTCGCTCGGTGTTCCAGAGCCCCGAGAGGCGCGAAAGCGACTCAGCGCGTGTCGCAAACGTTTTACACATTTTTGCACTCTGTTTACACATTCCTGCACTGTGTGCTCCCTTATAATATGGCACTCCCTTGTCACACGTAAACTTCTCATAGTCGCTTTTAACAATATCTAATATGAGCGCAACACACGATGCAACAGCCCCAGCCGGGAATGCACACCTGGATGTGAACGCGCCGAACAAAGATCACGATATCACGAGCCCTTCTTCGACCGATGTCAGTCTTACTGAAAGAGATGGAATCGTACAAAATGGCGAGAAAAGTATAAGAGAGGCCGAGGCTGGAGCGAATGGCGCCGCTGCTGCGCCGACAGCACCTGGTGCGCAAGATGGCGAACATCCGCAAAGAACAAAGCTGCAGATATTCTTGATTATGCTCTCTCTGGCTGTGGCAGTTCTTCTCGTCGCTCTCGATATCACGATCGTCACAACCGCTTTACCCACAATTTCGGCAGAGTTCAACAGCGCCTCGGGATACACATGGATAGGTTCAGCGTATCTCATCGCACAGTCGGCAGCCACACCAATTTGGGGCAAGATTTCTGACATCTTTGGGAGGAAGCCTATATTGTTGCTCACAAATGCAATATTCTTCGTGGGCTCACTCCTGGCAGGTGTGTCTGTTAATATGGACATGTTGATCGCTTCAAGAGTAATCCAGGGTATTGGTGGAGGAGGCCTTATCACACTAGTAAACATCGCCATCTCCGATCTCTTTTCCGTGCGAGATCGAGGCCAATATTTCGGAATTATTGGCGGCGTGTGGGCTTTGGCAAGTTCACTGGGACCTGTCGTGGGAGGGCTCTTTACGCAAAAGGTTTCTTGGAGATGGTGCTTCTACATCAACCTGCCTTTCGATGGAGTTGCTTTCCTTATCCTCTTATTCTTTCTCGATGTCAAAACACCAAGGACACCGCTCCGAGAAGGTCTCAAAGCTGTTGACTGGTTGGGATCGCTTACAATGGTTGGTGGAGTTGTTATGCTACTACTTGGCCTAGAATTCGGAGGCATATCACACCCTTGGGACTCAGCGACGGTGCTATGTCTCATCATCTTCGGAGCCGTCGTCATTGGCATCTTCTTCCTCATTGAGTGGCGGATATCGCCATATCCTCTTATGCCTCTTGACCTCTTCTCGAAGCGTTCGAACTTGGCTGCCCTGGCTACCTGTTTCTTCCACGCTTTCGTTTTCATCAGCGGCAACTACTTCCTACCGCTCTACTTCCAGGCTGTGCTTGGCGCAACACCCATCCTTTCTGGTGTTTATCTGTTACCTACTGCGCTGTCGCTATCGTTCCTTTCGGCCTTCACCGGTGTCTTCATTAAAAAGACTGGGCAATATCTGCCCATGATCTGGTTTGGTATGATCCTGATGACACTCGGCTTCGGACTCTTCATCGATTTCGACGTCAACACTTCCTGGGCCAAGATCATCGTTTTCCAGATCATTGCTGGAATTGGTGTTGGGCCAAACTTTCAATCCCCGCTCATCGCCCTTCAGAGTCTCGTGCCGGTAAGTTCCATCCAACGTTTCTTTTTCTGCTTCTGCACATGTGATCATTTAGCATGACGCTAGGAGCGGGGTTGTGGTAGAACGACCACATTTGCTATTATTTAGGTAATCGATGCTGACATGCTCGCTTCTAAGAAACGCGACATCGCTACTGCGACCGCTACTTTCGGATTTACCCGTAATCTTGGGTCGGCTATCTCGGTCGTTGTTGGTGGAGTCGTCTTCAACAACGAGATGAAGTCGAAACAGCCTCAGCTTGCTACCTCGCTAGGCCCCGAGACCGCAGCAAGGTTTGGTGGAGGCTCCGCTGGCGCCAATGTAGGGCTTATTCAATCGCTTCCCGACGAGCAAAAGGCCGTTGCGCGAAAAGCGTTCGCCGACTCACTGAGCACCATGTGGATACTATACGTCGCATTCGCAGTTGTGGGGCTTGCAGTCAGTCTGCTGATCACGCGCAACAAGCTCGACAAGCAGCATGAGGAAACCAAGACTGGAATTGAGGCTGAGAAGGCTAAGAGGCTCGAAAGGGAAGCTGAGCGTGCAGAGAGGCGGAAGAAGAGAGCTAGCAAAGGGTCTTTGCCACTCGATCCTGAAGCGCAGGCGAGTGATCCTGATGTCTCAAGGGACAAGGAGACGACAGCATGATGATTTTGACCGAGTCCATGCATCGCCAATTTTGACCAAAAGTTCTGGTTGTAGATTGTTGAAGATGCCACTGTAAATAACATTGTAATACCAAGCCATGAGGCATATCAAGCCATAGGGCTATCTGGATATTTCAATCACCCCTGGGTACTATGTTTTTATTGACAGTTTATGCCACTTTGCAGACGATACAGCCAAGGCATGTCTTGGGACAACCCAGCTTTTTCTACGTGAAGGTATTACACAGAAAGCCACGTCAGGTCTCAAACCAGTCACAGCGTTCCAATCATGTTGCGTTCTTACTCAAATGGTCACTTTCTCACAGGGCACGACCCTTTGCTGAGAAGTCTTTGTCGTTACCAATGTAGATAAAAGCGCAGTGAAGTAGACAAAGCAACCCTATCACCCGCTCTGTCAACGACGTGCTCATCGGGACATGTCATCACCGTGCAATAACATGTCAAGACATAGCCATGTTTCCTAGTACCACTTCGTTTTCGCCATGTGCTACTACCGCTTATACATATTTGTGGGATGCGGCCACTCGACTTCCTCTGACGCGCCGGTTGGGTACTGTAAGGACGCGCGTAAAAAGAAGGAAGAAAGGGCGAAGGACGCGATGGAGAGTCAAGATCGGGACACAGAGTCTGGAGGCGGTTGCAGGTGTACAGACTCGCAGATTACATTGTTGTCAGACGATGACTCGGAAGGAAGAGCAAACATTAGCATCGCCTGTGGCGATGCCTCGAAACTTCTACATCCCGGTACCTCAATAAGCGAAGATAGGAGACAGGATACACAGTCTATGTCTACTACCTATGTTCCCCTGCATTTGATCACAGATGAGTGGCCTGTTTTACTATCTTCACCTCTACCTACTACTATCCGAGAGGGTCATACCTCGCCATGGTATTCAAGGACAACAGGAAATGACACTGTTGAGCCATGCAGAGATGGTCGTGTACATCCTCTCCACACCATCAGGCTTGACCGCATATGCTCTGCCTGTGAGTGCGAGAGAGAAAGAAGACTCGGAGCATTGTACTCATCAATGCGCGAGGTCAAAACTGATCCTACAAGATGGCATTGGAAATATCAAGGAAACATGAACAGGAAAAGCGCTGAGAATCAGCGGGCGGGTATGGGCTGGAGTGCTGGTGTAGGAGCGGCAGTAGGAGAATGGTGGGATCGGGGCAAGAAGGAGAACAGAAATGAGACAAGATGATCACAAGATAGTTTTGACCATGTTAAGATGGAGATTGCGTAGGACCTGTTGAAGATGCAAACACTGTGCAGACAAGAAAGGTGCAGGTGGTGATGCTTCGTCACGTGCACTAACCGCCAATCGCAGCTCGGGCCTTTCAAAGCTCACAACATCACGACTACCACACCTCGCAACGCCGCCAATTGCCCCGTCGCACGACTGCTCATCACTCGACGGAGTCCTCGGAAACCAAAGACAGACACCCAACTCTGAACGCCCACTTCCGCCGCCGCAATGCCGACACCAGAGTCCGAACTCTTCCTGGCCAAAAAGCCCAAGGTTGCGCCAACCTTTGATGGGGTCGATTACGAGGACAACACTGCGCTCAAGGGCGCACAAGACGCCATCATCAGGGAGCAGTGGGTCAGGAGCATGATGGCGAGGCTGGTCAGAGAGGAAATGGGCAAGTGCTACCGGAGGGAGGGGGTCAACCATCTGGAGAAGTGTGGACATCTACGAGGTAGGCCTTCCTTGGTGTGTATGGGCTAGAAGAAGACTTGGGTCAACGAAAAAAGGGCTGGAGACGTGGGGCGGATATAGCAGTCCAAGGCCGCCCAATGGAGGTACGGACACGACGGTGCGAAGGCTAACGAGTTGAACAGAGCGTTACTTTGAGCTCCTCAAGGACGCTAAGGTCAAGGGTTACCTCTTTGCGCAACAAAACTACGTCGACGATGCGCTCAAGCGATAAGCGGACCCGCCAACAACGGTGGTCACTTGTATAGCAGGACGGACAACGGGCAGACGATGCACGATACGCAGCGGAGAATACCACCAGCACGACGACAAGGGCTTATGGCGTTCGACAAGCATCTGCAGAAGAGATGCAACGATCCTCTCTTACTGGCGAATCTGTACATACACATGCCGGGGGAGGGACTGATGTAGCACAAATTATTGGAACAAGTGTGCAATTGCAGTGGTACAGTGCGTATATTTTCTTCTGGCTGACGTGATACTCTCGAGCTTGTAGAAATGCACCTGCAGGCGTATATCCATCTCTTTGTTGCCCCTACGCCCATGATATGATGAGACCAAGGCTAGCTCCTCAACCCCGCTACGACCGCGTACCTGCGTCAGCGACCGCTACGAACAGCAACAACAACCACAACAACAATCGACGCCCAACAAGATGCCCTTTCCCTTTGTCCTGCCCACGACTTCCAGCATATCATTCACCGACTATCTCAACAGCAGCACACATCCATCCCTGCCAAACTGCGCAACCACTGCGCGAGGCGTCCTTCGTGACGTGCTCAAGCGACACAAGCGCATACCTCCTGCCTCACAAGCCTCGAACCTCTCCACGGTAACATCCGCCCTCAACGATTACATACCGTACCTGTTCGCCCTCGATGCGGGCCTGAGCGGTGCAAGCTGCGCGGGAGAAGAGATCGACCTGATCTTGGTCAAAGAGCTCGAGGTGGAATGGCGCTCGACACTGGGATCCTCAGTACCGGGCCGCGAACCTGCAAGAGTAAAGCTCAAGAGCCTTGAAAGCGAGCTATGCTACACACTCTCCACATTGGCATACGTATACAGCCTCCAGGCTCGAGCACAACTACATACGCTCTACAACGCGACCGTACCCTCACCCGAACAACGCGCGACGGCCATTGGTGCTGCTATGAAGCACTTTCTTGAAGCCAACTCTATACACACATACTTGGTGAACCGATCAGGCCAGTATAATTCACAGCCTGCCGCCATAGACATATCGGCATCCGTGCTGGGAGCGTTGGCGGAGCTGACTATGGCTGAAGCTACACTCATTACGGTGCTGAAAGATGACCCATACCCAGCTGTGGTGATAGAAGACAGGAACAAGCAAAGTAAAGACTGGATGTTTAGAGGGTCCGATATACCCAAGGTCCGCGCCCATCTCTTCGCGCGACTGTGCCTTGCATCGTCCGAACACGCTGCGAAAGCTCAAGCTATGATGGGACGGTCTTCCAAGATCAACGACGACCTGCTGAAATACGTGGATGACTTGCGACGCACGGCAAAGGGTAAGGCCTGTCGGTTCCTCGCCTGTGATGCTGAAGCGGGTGGTAAAACAGGAGAGGGCATTGCGTGGCTACGTGGCGCAAAGAAGGAGCTTGGCTTTGCCTCGCTAGGTGCCGAGGAAGAGAGGAAGTCATCTGGTTTCTCCAAACTAAAAAAGGAGTGGCAAGAGAAGAGAGAAGATCGTAAGATTGAAAAGGGTGTAGACTGGGGTACTGATGCCGGCAAGTTCGAAGAAGGCCGGATTGTTGACATGTTGCTGAAGAAGTGGGAAAAGCAAAACGACACTGTATGTCTACTTGCTCCTTGTTTCGTCATTGAGTGTGGCTGACGATAATAGGTTGGCGTCCAACTGGTGCCTCCCTCGGAACCGTTACTCGCAAGCATGCCTTCTGGGCGCGAGTATCACACAACGAAGATGTTCATTGTACCAGCGTTAGACGAGGACGCTTTAGTTCGCATGCGGGCGCCTCCAGACCCGAGCGAGCCTTTCGAAGGCGCTGAAGATGATAGCGCGGACGAGGACGAACGCAGTCCTCCCGCTGGCGCTTTCCCAGGAACAAAAGCGGACTATGCACCAGGATCCGCCTATTACTGAGTCATGGAGACATCTAATGCGAACGATATGATTGATGAGTTGCGCCAACCAGGTTGCGTCAGCTTGTCTGCCTACGTGATTGGTTCATGTCCCATACCCAAGATCCCTCCAAAACGCCTCAACTTCACCCGAAACATCCCTCTGCACTCTGCCTTTTTCCCATACATTGTCTGATTTGTTCAACATCTCGCTCCATTCATTCAACAGATCTCCCCTCTTTCCGCGCCCAGCAAAGTGGACCAGATAATCACCTCTTCTTACGTGACGTTCGTCTAACCCTTTCACGTCCTCTCTCTCTTCGAACTTTTGTGCTCCGCCTTCTTCGTACCCATTGAACCAATGTTGTGGTACGAAGCGCGCTTCATCTCTGAACTGGTCGGTCTGCAGGACGTGTTCCATGGCAGATTGTTCCGTGAAGGGGAGGTCAACGCCGGGATTGTAGTGGCGGAAGGCAAGAATGGCTGTGAAGAGTTCAATCGCCCAACTGTTGACACGAAGTAGAAAGATACCGTTGTTGAGACCGTTCCAGTCCTTGGTCACAAGCATATGCGTTGTGTTCGCCGGAGTCTGTAGTTGCTCATCATCGCGGCGCCACCACGAACCGAAGCGTGCTTTCTCTGGTGGCAGGAAGCTAGATATAGGGCGGCATTGGTCGAGAATGATGGTGTCTCGATCAACCCATTGAATCCACTCCAGACGTTCTTTGGCTGGTTTCAACATCTCGCGCATGCTAAGCGTGGGTGTACAAAGTTAATACATGTCTCACAAGCAGTTCGTTCAAGAACACTTACAGCAGGTTGAGTATGAAGGCCGGTTTGTTCCACAGGTCATCTACAATTGGATCGCACATCACTCTGACCTCGGTTCCGTGGACCAAGGCGTGGAGGAGGTGTGTCCGGAACGCTTTCTGGTAATACTCCTTCGATTTGCCGAAATGAGCTGTGACGGTTGCGATGCGCGCCCTTCCGGTTGCAAAAGGGGAGTATTTTCGACATGTAACACGCTTTGTGGTAGCCTCTTCAATGAGCTCTGGTGAAACTTCTGGTAAACACTTCGAGTCACCGTGTGCAACGAACTGCGGAATGAGCTTCGGATGTGGTCGGGCATACTGGACAGAGAGGTTTTCTAAACTGGACTGATTCCAGAGAAGGATAAAGGGGAAGCCGATGAGGAGGAATGATACCCAAATGAAGAACTTGCAGTTGAGGAATCTCGGGGAAGCATACATGGCCTCAGAATGGATAGAAGTAGAAGTCAAAGGAAAGCTGATGTTTTCCTCGTTTGGAAATCGTGACATGTTATTGCTATTGGATGCCAGCTTGGGTAAATAAGAAGGGGTAGAGAAGGGACTTGATTGATGTTTTCCAAGACACTGGTAATAGAACAAGCAACGGTGGGTGACGAATGCTGCGGCAATAATCTCTTGGAAGCCAGACAAGCCGTCGTATGTTACAGTGTACTCGCACGCCTGCGGGAATCAGGTTGGGAGCCGGCCTGGTATGGCGGCATCGGCATCTTCGTCCCAAGAGCTTCGTTGTGCTTGTCTCAAGCACAGAGGCGCTAGCTTTGACTACGTTTGTCGATTACGCTGCTAGTAGCCTATAGTTTTCCACGAGTGCATAATCGAGGCTTAGACTATGAACGAGGAATGGACGGACTTTGTATCTGATGTAGTGGTTGCAATAGATACACGGCTCACCCACGGACATTGCAGAATTGACACGAATACGCGAACCTCGCGCATGGCAGTCGTCTAGATGATGTATAGCAAGCTGCTCATATTGGCAAAATCGATGATGTATTCCGAAGCTGACGAGCTCATCGCGATACGTGTTTCTGCTCGGGGAGATACCTTGGCCTCTCGTCAGTCTTGGCTTACCTGGCATCAGCGCCGCTGCTCCGAAGCATGTACGGAGCTGAAACATGCCAAAGCCTCCATGACAGTAACTCGGATTCATTTAGAGGCTGATAGTGTGTGAAATGGATCGAAGCGTCTTGACTGTCTTGGTATACATACCTAGGCAGTCCAAGGATGCATGAAGTATCCTCGTTTTCCAGCACCGTGGTGCCTGGATACCTACGGACACGTCGAGCCCGTGCATGAGCGGCAGATGGTAATGGGAGTTCTAATTCCGTTGACGCTTTGTAATGACATGACTGCCGTGATGTCTTGGAACACTCCGGAGCGTCCGGATAGCGTGTTGAGGTGGATGGACGTGTCTTTGGCGCGAAAGACAGTCACGGTCCTTAGCAAGGAACACATGCAGAAGCCATCACAGCAGCACACAACAGTACCACGATCCATGTTATGTTGTTACATAGTACAGAGACAAAAAGAGGATCGTTCTTCCACTGTCGGTCCACAAGCAAGCGAGAGTTGTCCCAATCCACGCAGCTGTGAGGCTAGAACCAGAAAGTAAAAAAGGCAAAAAAAGGCAAAAAGAATAATGCTCTCCAGCAGGGAATTGAACCCTGGTCTCCCGCGAGTTGCCAGTTATGGTGACAAGCGGAAATACTGACCACTATACTACTGAAGATTGATGAAAAAAAAATTATTAAACACATATATATCTTAGACGATAATTGTGACTTGCTGGAATCGCAAACCGGTCCGGAACGTCATCCCCATTTAACCACAACCCGTACTCAAGCGCGTATTCGATCATATAAAATTCTTCACCGCAGCTCAGACTCGAGACTTTTCCCAGCATCTAACGCAACATAAAGCGTTAGCACTCGTGAAACGCGCCTGATTCAAGAGTATGATCTCGTAGCCCTATTATTAACAGGATTTCGAGCTGCTATTCAATCCCACTGTATCCCGCCCATTATCGTGATCTGGTCCGTGTCAGTCTTTATGAGCATCAGTAGTGCTGCTGATGACTAGAGCCTCGTCTTGTGCCTCGTATCCACGCACAGTTGCATTACCCTCATCCTTCATAATGAGATTTTCTTCGTCACTGGAACAGACGTGTTTCCCTGCCAGTAAAGATATCCAGCATGGTCCAAAGTTGATTAAATATACTTTGATGCATCTATTCCTGCAATCATGCACTCGGAACTATATACAGCGCCTGTTCCCAAACCTACTCGCTCCCACGCTAGTCCTTCACGCTCACACCAGCTTTACTGGCATCCTTAGCACTTTGTTTCTGCGTCTTTGGCACATCCGCTTCCTCTTCCTCTGAGGTCTCTTCCTCTTCATCGCTGTCTTCTTCTTCTGAACTCTCTTCTGCTTCATCTTCCTTGGCCTGTGTAGCTGCTTTCCCTTTTGTAGCCAACGGTGCAGGTTTCTTCTCATCCTCGCTGTCCTCCTCTTCACTGTCTTCTTCCTCTTCGTCACTATCTTCCTCTTCGTCGCTGCTCTCTTCCGCAGCTACAGTCGCCTTCTTCTCTATCTTTCCTGGAACCTTGGCTGCAGTAGCTGGCTCCTTCGCATCATCTTCCTCCTCAGAACTCTCCTCCTCTGATTCTTCTTCCTCGCTTTCTTCGTCGTTTGTCGAATCTATCGGTCCAGCACTAAGCGCAGGGTTCTTCGCATCGTCGTGCATCGAGGAGGGCCCATGTACAGGCTTCTGCAGATCCGAAAGCTTGGGAATACTCGGTTGCGCAGCTGCTTTTGTACCCTTCGTGCTCTTTGATTTTGCATCTTTACTTTTTGTGTCTTTGCTACTTGAGGATTTCGATTTTGACTTTGCTGGAGCTTTTCCCAGGCCAAAGAGACCTCCCGTGGGTTTTCTCGTTGACTTGGACTTTGCATCTTTCGAGGATGTGGTTTTTGCTTTGGTATCTTTTGTCTTGCTGTCCTTTGCTTTTGCGTCTTTTGCCTTTGCATCCTTTGCTTTGGTGTCTTTGTTCGTACTCGGTGCAGCGGCCTTCGCGTCTTTGGTCGACGTACTCGAGGTAGCAGGCTTGGCTTCTGTTTTGGTAGTGGAAACAGCAGGCTTTGTGTCTTGAGTCGTGGTCGGTGTAGCAGGCGTTGCAAGCTTCGGCGTCTCAGGTAGTGGGACAGACTTTGGCGAGAGGATGCTACCAGGGTCTTCTTTTGTGGGGCTCTTTTTCGACGTCGCTGAGGTGGGTGTGTTCGTCTTCTCTGCCAGCAGGGGGTTTGTAGTTTTGATGTTACTTGGCACTGGCTTCAATGAAGCGGCCTTCTTCGCGGCTTCAGCACCCAGCTCCCGGAGCGCCAGATTTGTTTCCAGACTAGGTGTGACAACATTCTCCTTCTTTGCAGCTGTGCTTGTGGATGAGAAGGAAGAGGTGGTGGTAGCTGGTGCAGCCATAGGCGGGGGCCCGGGTTTCGCAGGGAAGGGCGTGAAGGCTGATGTGACGCCCAACGCTTCTCGGATCTCATCGTATTCGTTCCATTCTTCAATTTCTGTAATGCCCTATATCACATAGATTAGCCTTCCCATCCTAGCTGCGTGCCGCGTTCTGTACCTACACCCAAGACATATCCTTCTTTGACTATCAGAGGGAGCTTCTTCCCGCTCGCTCTCCGCTGGAATAGCTTCTTTGCGAGCTCATCAGTCGCAGTATCTACTCCTTTGAACGGGATCTTGTTCGCTCGTAGGATTGTTTCAATTCGCGAGGTAGCCGTGACGATGTGGGAGGAGCCGGCGGTCAGGGAGGTGAATAGGTAGATGGTCGGATCGTTATCATAAACACTTGGAGACACGGAGTCAGTATATGTCTCACATGCATTTCGTAGTCACAACTCACCTGAGCTCCGCCATGGTGGGGACAGCGAAAACAAGCTCGGTGGGGGATGGGCAGGTTCGTGATCGGGGATGTTTTAACGGCAGAAACAGAGAAGTCAAGACAGCAAACACGTATATATTGACGAGGGGTTTATAGAGCTAGACACGAAGTGTTGCGACGTAGTCTCACCAACACTCGAGTTACAGGCTGACGCACGGACTGGACCCTGCTTCTGCACTCCCTAGCGCAGGAGCAGGGGGGTCTTAGATAGTGGGCAATCGCTACATCAACATTTAACAGCGTGTTATGGCTGTGTTTTCTTACTAACATTCTGTCCAACGCCACTATAACACTATTGCAACACTTTGGTTAACACAACACGACGATATCCCTGTGGGCAAACCCCCACCTCGCGCGCTACGGCACTGCCCATCATGACAGAGACGTGAGGTCAACGTGCTTATATTATTGCTTATACCGAGCGAGTGACATTACATATTATCAGAAAAAAGACATAACTAGTACTTCGTTTCTCTCGACTAGACATTATGCGGGCGTAGGACCATTCGAGAATTTGCCAGCAAGAACAGTCATTAGGGCGTCGCTGACTTCAAACTCCTCAAGGACTGCGCCAAAGCTAGCCCATGTCAGTAAACACTCTGGCTCGATCGTCTGCCTTGTTTTCGACGTACCCGTAGCAGCGGACTTTGGCAAGGAGCTCTGTCTTCACGAGCTCAATGTCTTGCTTGGAAAGATCCCGAATGTTCTCGTCTTGTAGGATCTTCGCCCAGGCCATAATGGGCGTGATCTCCCCATCAAGGGGCAGACGGTTGCTCAGATCGAGCAGCTTCATCAAGTCCGGCATCTTGACGTCCGGCATCTGATGTGGATACTTCTCCTCGGGGCAATTTGCGATATGCGCGTCGGGAGGGGCGGTGGCCATGAGCGCATGACCACTAATGTTTTCGTCGGCATCGTGGGCGCGTACCATCAAAAACTGCATGTGATCCATGCAAGGTCGCTCGAGCCTGTCAGACGCAATCGTCAGAACAGCGCGTGTAAAGATAAAGAATAACGTACGGAAGTCGAACAGAACGAAGAGAAAAGACGTAAGCGCATTACTGCTGGGGTGGAGGAGAAAGGTAGGGCGATCGGTCGTACGTTAAAACGAAGTCTATCCCAATCTGGTCATAGTCGAGCCCATGCTGCTGTTGATGATGTGACTGTTGGGCTTGTTGTTGCAGAGTCAAGGGCTGACCACTCATGCCATCATGAGAAACTGATCCGCGTGTTGGTGGTGATGTGTAGCCAGTCGACGCTGATCCTGGCCCATAGCCTGATACGCTACCCGTAGAACTTCCATAGGCAGAGCTATCAACTCGACCCATGCCGTTGCTTGCTGGGCTGGAAGTGTCGAAGGAGATTCCATGCGCCATAAGCAATTCTCTCAGTCGCCGGTTCTCTTCTGCGAAAGCGTCTCGTTCCCGAGACGTAGCGGCGAACGTGTCCTTGAGACGTATCACCTCCTGTTCAAGAGCTTTGATATACAGCTCTTTTCTTTCCCGGTGTGTTCTTGTCTATGGGTCAGTGTGTGATATCGCGCGTAGCATTCCTGAGTTTACCTTTGTGCCTGGCGGTTCAACTCCTGTCGCCGTGTCAAGGCAGGTTTGCTGTCCGGTTTAGGTCCTCTTCTCTTTGGCGGTTGGCCATCTTGCAAGAGTCAGTAACCGATAGAGCCAAGACCATGGTCGACAAACCTCTCGTAGTCTTCTTGTCGGTCAGGCTCTTGAAGAATCCAAATTGCGCTAAAGGGCTTTTTGATTCGCTGCCTATAGATTGCCACTGCCCTGTACTCTCCATGTCCGACGCAAATCCAGCCAAGCTGCCTCTCCTGCTGCTGCCCATACTCATCTCAGAGAAACACTCGGAAGGTCGACGAGAAGCGGCAGGAGAAGGGTACTCGTTGGCAGCGCCGGGTGGAGGGTAGGTGGGCGCCATGGTCAGCACGTGCGCATCGGGCCAGGACATATAACGAGCATGCGACATGGTGTTTCGGTATTATGCGAAGGATTAAGAAAACAAAAAGAAATTAGGTATGTGTATGTGTGATAAGCTTGGACGGGAAGCGAAAGTAGTGCAGCCATGTATATGTAGTGTGTCCGGAGCCTTGTATCGACTGAGGCACACAAGAGTTCGCATGCTGGTTTCTCGTTCATGCGCCGTTGTCAACGTCCGGCATGCAGGCGAGCCGTGAGGCACGTGTGTGCAACGTTCATGCCGACACCGGTAAAGCTTGCCTTGACGAGACTGGTCTTGTCTCTGCAGCACGTTTGCGGGAGTGGGGTGAAGACGCAAGAGTGCTTCAACAAGTGCGGACCAATAGTGGAGAGCGTCTCCGCGTGCCAAGAACAAGGTGTAGGAGTCGCGAAGCGGAGACAAAACAGATCCAACGTCAAAACACCGAGAGATTAAAGCACTGGATAATGCCAAGAGAGAGCCAACATACCACTGCTATTGTTGTGATAATTCGCGTCCCCAGAGGAGGGGTCGGTCTTGATAGTCGTAGCCATGCTATGTGAGCTGCATTGATCAACACGCACACTTTATGGACAAAACGGTTGTCTCTATCGGCGCTGAGTTGGCGGATAGGCCGGCCGTGGAAATACAGTGAGCAACACGCTAGAGATTGGTCAGTTTACAAGTCAACGTTGAACCCTTGCGCACATCCGAAACGTACAGCTGTCTGTATCGTCGGCACTCAACTATGACAACTAGACAGGCCGCGGTGAGCCGCGTCTTCGTGGTGGATTGACCGAGCAAGAAGAGTTGAGGCTTACATCAGGTTCTCACTGTTGCCGAGGTTCAGTTCCTGGTGCTTCCGAGTTGAGCGAAAGGGTGATGATGGGGAGATGGACGTAATGGGCGACGAGTGGTCGACGCAATTGAGACAAGCGATGGTGCTCTTGGCGTCGCAGAGTCGGATGTAGCACAGCAGAGGGCAAGCTGGTCTGAAGGATGTGTCAGGGTTAACTCTTACACTTGCAGTGCGATGTTCAACGCGATTTAGTAGCAAGCCAGGCACGAAATAATGCACTACGCACTGGAAGATCGTCGGCGGGAACACAGCCCAAGCTAACGATTTGGAATCTGTGCGAGTCCGGGCCTGGAGGTTGGAAGATGAGGCGGTCAGTGCACAAGATCGAGCCGAACAGCTTTTGGGTCAATCAGAGCCAGGGCGCGGAAGCAGCTTGAGATCCGCTGGTGTTTAGCGGCTCGAGTCTGCGGCTCTGCACCTCGTCCGGTCTAGAGCTTGCAGACGGCTGACGGTGCAGTGGCGCGATGCGATACGTAATATCCCAGCTTCACAGTGCAAAAAGAAAGGGTTGGTACGCAAAACCCGGCGGCTTTCGTGTCATGTACTTTGCTGAACGCCTGCCATAGCCACGCTTGGCAGACCTCGACCCCGACAAGTCTCGGGGGGCATCTCTTCCTGTGGCGAGTGCATCGTCCTCTACCACACTTCTTTGTGTAACATGCATCCACTTAGAGAAGCGTTATTCTTCCCCGTACGGTCACGTTGTGCAGTACGTAGAGCTGCCGCCGCAGCCCAATCGCCACATTTTCGCAAACCTACCTCCTACGCCATAGCGCGTCTATAGCACTCAGCTCGACGCATAAGATCAGAAAGCAGTTAGAAAGCAAATCATGGACCCCTTAATACGTTCGACACAACTGAGGCTGTCGATTTAACTTCCATTACACTACATAAACTACTCTAGATCGGTTGGGTACGCTGCGGGCTTTGACCAGGCCTTACAGCCGTATCGGAGGACCTTACGGCTTGTTGTCGAGGATCTTCTCAATCTCCTCCATGAGCTCCGGTGTCAACTTGTCGAGCATCTTGATAGCGCCACAGTTGTCCTTGACCTGTTCGGGCTTCGTCGCACCAAGAATGACTGTAGATACATTCGGGTTTTTGGCTGCCCAAGCAAGAGCAAGCTGAGTAGTGGTACCTCCTAGCTTTTCCGCAATCTTGGTTAGCTCCTTGACCTTCTTGATCTTAGCCTGTCCCTCTTCACTCTTCAGTGCCTCGATTGAGTTCTTGAAGAATTCGGGGTTCGTGGCGAAGCGAGAGTCCTCAGGAATACCGTCATTGTATTTACCAGTCAGCATGCCTGACGCCTAGAGATTGGTACATGAAGTCAGTAAATGTGTCGCATGCGGTTCATGTAGGGTTTTTGTTTACCAAAGGTGACCAGATGGTCGTTCCGTATTGGTACTTCTTGTACAAGGGTGCATATTCCTTCTCGAAACGCTCACGGTGGAAGGCGTTGTACTGGGGCTGCTCGACGATAGGAGCGATAAGGTTGTACTTCTCGGCAATGTCACATGCCTCCTGGATCTGCTCTGCAGACCACTCGGAAGTTCCCCAGTAGTATGCCAGGTTCATCTGAATAGTCTGGGTGAAGGCTTCGACAATCTCCTTCATCCCGACGCTAGAGATACATCAGCTTGCAATCGAAGAAAATGACTGGATTGTTGCATACTCAGGATCGTAGCGGTGAGCAAAGACAACGTCAACGTAAGAGTGATCAAGACGCTTCAACGAGCTCTTCAAGCCCTCGACGATGTGCTTCTTGGATAGACCCCTACATGTTCATTAGTCAAGTAAAGGTACGTAAAGCATATGTTTTACCTAGTGTTCGGCTCCTTCCTCTGGGTTCCAAAGAAGACCTTCCCAATGTTGTTAGCCTAGATTCGTCGCATTTCGACACGAAGCACATCTTACCTTTGTGGACAAGACATACTCGTCGCGCGGCCATTGCAGCTCCTTGAAAGCCTTTCCCATCTCAAGTTCGCACTCGCCAGCTGCGTAGACCTCTGCAGTGTCAAAGAAGTTGATGCCATGGTTCCATGCTTCTTGCATGCAGTCCTTCACGATGGAACCTTTTTGAGTTCCTCCGTACGTCAACCAACCTCCAAGGCTCAGAACCGATACCTTCAACCCAGCGGGTCCCAGGCGACGGAACTGCATGCTAGATTTAGATCAGCCAATGCTCGAAGGAAACGGACATAGAGATACAGAGCTTCAGGCTGCAGATTGGGGATAATCTACTCGACCAGCCAAACTCATCTGCATCATAACAATTGACATGCAACTCACTCCTTGGGGTCAAACTTAGTCTCGACGGCAGGCATTTTGGATATGAGGAATGATCTGATAAGAATGAAGTTTAGTTGGACAAGATTTCAATCGCTGGAACAGAGTGCAATGAGGGGCAGGATGTATCCAAGCAACTTGGTGGGGCAATCTTGCCGTGGTGGCGGATTAACACCAATGATGTCAATCATTGCAAATGTGGCAGGCGGGACCGGAGTTAGTCTACAAATTCCGTGTTAGCGGCACTTGCAGCTGCTGGAAGGCGGCAGAATAGCCGTAGGCCTCGGAAACGCGACTGATGGTTTGGGGGACTGGTGCTCCCTATAGACTAAGCGCTGGAGCGGCGCAAATGTCCCCTTTGCTGACGGCTTTTAAAGTGGGGCGGCTGCGGCTGAGGAGCTGCCTGACACAAGAGCATAAGCATGCAACAGCATCCTTCCGTCAGCGGCCAGCCACGAGAGATCATCTCGCCTCCGTCGAGTGCTTTGTGCCACAGAATTCGCCTTACAACCTTGTTGTAGTGGTACTAGAAGCGGGTATAACTCCTGTCGGTCGGTATTGGCAAAAGCTTGACCTCGCTCGTTTCACGTTTCGAAACACCCCCGGCCGGTCATTGACGCACACCCAATCACAGTCGCACAACGCGCTTTCACGTGCATTGTTCGCCATCTCGACAAGCAATGATTGGCAGTGACTTCTCATTGATCTGGTGCCATTGTAGGACAGGGTCCTGACTATCATGCTGACGGGCTGTTCGAAGGGAGGCCTTGAGGCGCACCGTCTATATCTTGGCCGTTCCCCGTCCTTCACTACACTGCCTCCTCACGGTCTCTCAATCCCTTATTTAGATCACTTGTTTCTGCTGGGCTGAAGCATATTCATTTCAACGTCACTCATTTATAAGACACTGTTCCCGCAGTTCACTTCAATAGAACATCAGAATTCAAAAATTCACGAGTGTCCCTTTGTACTTAAGGCCTCCTCACCCTGAATTGGAAATACCTTCTAGAATCCCAACAACTCAGCTTCGTCAGTCGACCTCTACACTAGAGCATCACAATCCACCAACCTATAAACAACATGGGTTTCAAGAAGAACATCCTCTTTGCAGGTGCCTTTGCACTCTGCGCCTTTGCGGCACCTATTCCTGACTGCCCCGACGACGTCCCAGAGACAGATGCCACAGAGTTGACCGCAGCCAACTTGATCGCCATCGCACCCGCCACCAAATCTTGCGCCGGTGCGGATTTCCCCGATGAATGTGCCGATGCGACACAAGCTGCTACCGCTCTCAACAAGGCTTTCAATACCTACAAGATAACCGCCAAGGGCGAGAAGGCTGCCATAGTCGCCTATGAGATATTCGAGAGCGGTGACTTCAAGTACAAGAAGAACCATTTCCCAGGCCGACCTGGTCAAGGCACGAGGAGTAAGTAAAACCGTCAGGTGGATCGCACGTGGAACACGAACTGACTTTACACCCGTTTAGTGATGGCGATGCCACCGTTTGTCGAGAAATACGCTATCGATGTCGCCGGCGCAGACGCTGTGACACAAGCAAAAGCTGCAGGAGAAACCGCCGGTTTGGAGGCAGTACTTGCTCTGGTCAACAGCGACGATGAGAAGAGCTTTGGAAGTGCAGCGTGGTTCGTTACCACCCAGTGCAGTGCAGATGTTCGGGCTGGTCTTGTCGAAGGCACTGTAGATGGCTGGCACAAGTTCTTGACTGACTGTGTTGACACACCGCTTGATCCTACGCGCGACACTCCTTGGACTGCTGCCACAGCTACCATCCAGTAAGGGTATTAAGACACGTTCAAACGTTGGTTTGGTACATGGGGTACTTGTCGCATAGCGCGATGGCTTTGAAAGGCTTCTTCTATTC